GTACTGCCCCTCACTTTTCCAGTGCCCTTCATCCCATCCAAAGCTAGCAGTCCATTGTGAAGAGGGGAGAAGGCCCTGGCAGGTGTTGGATTCTTAATCTCGAGCCAAATGGCAAGATGGAACAGGGCAGTTACCTGCCACTGCTGCATACCCAGTGCTGAGGTCCCTGTCCTGTGCACACTAGTGGGGACAGGCTGGCTCTGGGCAGGTGTGGCAGCCAGGCACTTTCACAGCTAGTATCTTTCCTGATATCTTTTGCAGGGTGGCAGGAGGAAGTGACAGACAGTGAGTCCTATGCTCTGCCCACATAGTGCAGGGGTCATTGACTGCCACACAGGGCAGAGTGTGAGTCACTCTGCCACCCTGAGTGGGAAGAACAGAGTCCCCTAGCCAAAGGAAGGCTTTCTGGGAGGCAACAGCCCTTCCTTGGGCAGGATGTGAGATACCAGCCAGATATTGAGTTTCAGAAAGAGCCAGGCCCTGCAGTGGCCTGGTGTCTCCACTGTCTTCTCTGTAGTACTGGATCCTCTGTTCAGTTTCCCAGAAAAAAAAAAAGCCTCCCCCCTCAAAAAAAAAAAAAAAAAACAACTCCTAAAGAGTAAGCAGGAGGGCCTGGGAAGGTGGCTCAGAGGTAGAGCACTTGCCTTGCATGCCTGAGGCCCTGGGTTCGATTCTTCAGCACCACATAAGCAAAAAGAAAAAAGCCGGAAGTGGCACTGTGGCTCAAGTGGTAGAGTGCTAGCCTTGAGCTGAAGAGCTGAGGGATAGTGCCCAGGCCTAGAGTTCAGGCCCCACGACCAGACCAAAAACAAACAAAAAAAAAGAGTAAGCAGGATTCACTGGCTAATAGATGACCCCGTCCAGCTAAGGCAAGGCTTTGTGTTTGGTTTTACCTGCTGATCCAGTTGTTTGTGTTGTTTTGTTTTAATCCTCATTCAAATCTCCTTTGTTGTTTGTTTTTCAGTACTAGAGATGGAACCCTGGATCTCACATTTGCTAGGCAAGCTCTCTATAACTTGAGCCACACCCCAGCTCTTCTGTTGGTATTTTATTTTTGTGACAGTGTCTTGCTCACCTTGTCTGGTATGGCCTCCAACTCCAATGTGCAATTCTCCAGTAGTTGAGCCACCACTCCTGGCTCTAACAACAGATGCTGGAGGGGATGTGGACAGAAGGGAACCTTACTGCTTTGTTGGTGGGAGTGTAAACTTGTTCAACCACTTTGGAAAGCAGCATGGAGGTTCCTCAAAAGACTCCACATAGAGCTCCCCTATGACCCAGCAATCCCACTTTTGGGCATTTACCCAGATGATCACAAACAAGGCTATACTAAAGCTACCAGCACAATTATGTTTATCAAGAAAAATTATATATATATATATATGTAGATAGATATATACACACACATACACACATACACACACAATAAAGAATTTTTTTAACTAATAAGGTTTCTTTGGTATTTCTTGATAAAGAAATAGTGTCCTGTGAGGAGCTGGCATAGGACAACCTTGAAGGTTCACCCCCCTGCCCAGCTTCCGGCCCTTCCACACGCAGGGCAGTCAGGGACAATACAGGCCAGTTAGGTGACTGCCCATCCATGGCTCCCTACTGCCACCTCCTTCCCCACCTCACCCCACAGGCCAGCACTCCTGCCTGGCTAAGGTCACTGCACTGGGCCAGACAGATGGCAAGCAGTCATGTGCTGCCTTGCCGGAATTTCCCCTACAGAGCATTCCTTATTAGGAAAAGCTGCATCCGGGTCCTCCACTGTGTTCCTGGACTGGAGGCAGCATGCATGATACTCCCAAGAATCCCAGGTATGCAGGATCCAGGAGGGCCCTGAGGCCAGCCATGCATGGCTCCCCTGGAGGCTGCACTGGGCCCATCACCCCCATGTGAGCTTCCTGCCTAAGCTTCCCTTTGCAGACCAGCCCTACCAGAAGCCCACAGAGCAGGGCTTCCCACTCCAGCACACAGCCAATAGAATCCTGCCACCTTGATTCACCAGGGACCAGATGGTTTCCATGCTGTTTAGCACTTGCATGTGGACCCAAGGCATATTTGCCTCCATCAATAGGCATCATCTATATGCGCACAGGGCCCCACTCAACCTCTTCCAGAACAAAGAGCCACACTTTAAGAACCCAGCCCAGTGGCTGGGAATGTGACTTAGTGGTAGAGTGTTGCCTAACATGCATAAAACCCTGGGTTCGATTCCTCAGTATCACATAAACAGAAAAAGCTGGAAGTGGTGATGTGGCTCACATGGCAGAGTGCTAGCCTTGAGCAAAAGAAGCTCAGGGACAGTGCCTAGACCCTGAGTTCAAGCCCAAGGACTGGCAAAAGCCAAAAACAAAAACCCAGCTCAAGATACATGCCCCCCCAAAAAAAATCCAGAAGTAGAAGCATTGAGAGGAGAAGGCAGGTGACAGGAATCTGGCTGTGTCCCTGCTGTCCTGGAACTCTCTGCATGGTCTTGGTCAGGGCTGCATGGAAAGCTGGGACAGCGGACTGAAGGAAGCTCCCATCAATGCGGCCAGCTGTGAACCCAGTCTTCCCCCGAAAGCCCCTCCACACCATCTGGGACATGGGAACGGGATAGGGTCTGATTGCTTAATGAGCACGGGTTTTTATTTTAAGGAATTAAATACAGGTGATAGTACAATATTGTAAAGGTACAAAGTGCTACTGAATGGTTTGCTTTAAAATTGTTCATTTGAGGCTGGTGGAGTAGCTTAGTAGTAGAGTATTTGCCTAGTGTGCATAAGACCCTGGGTTCAACGCCAGCACCACGCATACACACACACGCAAACACACACACACACACACACACACACACACACGGATGCACACATGCAGTAAAATTTTTGTGCTCATTTCACCTTGATGAAAAAAAGGAAGGTTAATGCATCTGAAATGAGTGTGTATCCTCTCAAAGAACACATCTTCCTGCGACTATGTAACCACTTCAGCTCTGTCACCTGGCATTCGTCCCATACTCAGGGTCCCTGTCATTGTTGGAAGATTTTATAGACCCTGGCTTAGTTCTCCAGTTAGCAGAAGACTTCAAAGGCTGAGGTGGCAAAACAGACTTCTCTAACCAGAAGATCAGGCTCCCTCCCGGTCATTTGTCAAAGCTTGCTTGAGTTTCATATATAAAAGAAAGATACCAAGGCCTGGGAAGGTGGTTCAGTGTTGGAGTGTTTGCCTCGCATGCATGAGGCCCTGGGTTCGATTCCTCAGCACCACATAAGCAGAAAAAGCCCGAAGTGGTGCTGTGGCTCAAGGGGTAGAGTGCTAGCCTTGAGCTGAAGAGCTGAGGGACAGTGCACAGGCCCAGAGTTCAAGCCCCATGACCACCAAAAAATAAAAAACAAAATAGGAGAAAAGTAAGATACCCAGTTTACAAACCCCAATCTTGAGTCATTAAAAACATTCTCAATTATAGGTGAAAATTCATAGCTATTCAGATGTAATACTACCTAGAAGTTTCAGCTGGGTCATTTTGAACAAATAGCAATGGTGATAATACACCCTCTGTTCCAATGTGAGAACGTGAATAATTAACCTTCCAGGAGGGGGCGGGGGAAAGAGCCAAATTTTAAGAGCAATTCAATCCAATAAATGTCCAATGTAAAAGTAGATCAGGTCTGCTGATCATTGTGATGGTGATTCAGCAATGGCTTTAGGAAAACCATGGCAGCATTAACACCCTTGAAGCATGCGAGGGCTGGAGGACGCTGACATTTGTGGGGATTGTGGTTTACAGAAATGTTTACAGAAATGTTGACTTTTTTTTTTTGCTACATCTAATTTTGTTACCAAAAAAAATATCCAAGTGTGTACAGATTTTATGTTCTGAAAGTCAGCTTCGCTGAGATAGAAAAACCCATCATCAGGTCATTATTTCTTAAGGATTCATTCCACCTAGAAGGAAACCTCCTGCGCATGAAGGGGAAGGCTCAGACATGTGGTGCCCATGCTTTACTAAGCAGAGTGGCAAACTTTGCCGGGTCTTGCCAGGGGACTTCAGCTGATGAAGAAGGCCAACTTTTACGGGGCACTGGAGGTGGGTGAGGTCCATGTCACTGCTCCCAAGTAAGGGCTTAAAGGGACAAATAATAGGAAAATTAGGAGAATAATCTGTGTCCAACACAGGAGACAAAGCAGCAGGCTAATGATTAACAACTGCATGTGGCTGGCCTCTGACAGTACAGGGTGGTGATAGGACCTGGCTTTCAGAAACCAGCCAGGCGGGTTCAAAACCCAACCTCAGCATTAGCAAGTTGCATGACCTTGAAGAAGTCAGTTCACTCCTCTGAGCCATGTTTGTTTGTTTGTTTGTCTTTAATAAGCCAATTTAATCAAGATTCCATCTATCATCAGCTACTGGTGGCTCACACCTTGAATCCTAACAAATCAGGAAGCTGAGATTTGAGGATCATGGTTCGAAGCCAACCCAGGCTGTGAGACTATGAAACTCTTTTTTGGGGGGGATCCAGTCGTGAGGCCTGAACTCAGGGCCTGGGCGCTGTCCCTCAGCTCTTCAGCTCAAGGCTAGCGCTCTACCACTTGAGCCATAGTGCCACTTCCGGCTTTTTTCTTTTTGCTTATGTGGTGCTGAGGAATCGAACCCAGGGCCTCAGGCATGCAAGGCAAGCGCTCTACCACTGAGCTACCTTCCCAGCCCAGAGACTATGAAACTCCTATCTTCAATTAGTCACCTGAAAATCAGAAGTGGAGCTGTGGCTCAAAGTGGTAAAGTACTAGCCTTGAGCAAAAAAGCTCAGAAACAGTGCCCAGGCCCTCTGTTAAAGTCCCACAACTGACAATGAACAACAACAAAAAAAAAAAATTGGCCTCCCTCCCACACTTTCAGTGCTAAAGGGGTAACTGGGACTGGAAAGCACCATGCTTCTCCGACACCAACAGCTGCAGTCTAACCAGACACCCCTTGCTGCTATCCATGCTGACCAGGAAAACAATGACCCAGCCAATGCTGTTGCATTTTTTTATTTAAAAAAACACACAAACAAAACAGTGATCAGTTATATATATATACAAAATTACACAGGTTCCCACAGTTCATGGCGGAAAAGGCTCAGAAGATGGGGCTAAGGAGGGGGGCGTGGGGTTTTCTTTCTCTTCATATCTAGGGGGTGAGTCCAAGGAGAGGTGTGAAGGGGGTGTGACCTCAGAGAGTGTGTTAGTCCCAGAAATGGTGTACACGGCTTCCCGCCCTCCTGCAGAGACTGCACCCTCGCTCTCAGGAGTTGGGGTCCTGCTGAAAAGAAGAGGGTTCATGAAGGGAGTGACAAAAACAGCTGCACCCTGAAGTACCAGGTTGTGTCAAATGTTCACTTACACTCTTCGAAGCACCCCAAAGTCCTACGGAGTCATGTCTCCCACCTGGTGCTTTTTATAGCTCTGTTTGGGCTTCTTACCCCGCACTTTCCTAACAGCTGATAGTAACCATAAGATAGCCTCGCTTCTGTGGTCACTGCCCTGAAAAGGCTCAGAGTACAAAGGGTCATGTGCCATCCGAAGGCAAAATGCACACACGCATACACATGTACATACGCACACATGAATGCGCACACATGCTTGCCCACACGTTCATGGTGCATACACATGCATATACATGTGTGTGCACATATGTGGACACACTGCTGCACACATACATGCATGAATACACACACTGATACACACGCACACTTGCTGTCCTCTGCCACTTTTGTCTTCTGAATCAGCTAATACGAGATGGACAAACATACACAAAAAGCAAAATGAAAGCAGCAGGGCGCTGGTGGCTCATACCTATAATTCTAGCTACTTAGGAGGCTGAGATCTGCGGACTTCATTCAGAGTCAGCCTGAGCTGAAAAGTCCATGAGACTCTTAACTCCAATGAACCATCGGAAACCAGGAAGTGGCCCTGTGGCTCAAAGTGGAAGAGCACTAGCTTAGAGCAAAAGAGCTCAGGGACAACACTCAGGCCCTGAGTTCAAGCCCCACAGCTGACGGAAGAAAGGAAGGAGGGAAGGAGGGAGGGAGGAAGGAAGGAAGGAAGGAAGGAGGGAAGGAGGGAGGGAGAAAGGAAGGAAGGAAGGAGAGAAGAGAAGAGAAGAGAAGCAATCCCAAAACTTTCCAGGAAGCAGGAAGGCATGCTTGGCCACTGTTGTGGCTCTGAGAACTGCCAGCATCTGAACCCCACTCCCACTCCGCTGTTCCCCAGCTGGCTGGCCCCGTGCACCTTACTTAGCCTTTCAGAGCCTCAGTTTCCTCATCTGTTTCTCCCAGAGTGTGAAGGATTGATTCCTGTCTCATTTTCCCAGGTCAAGCAAGACACCAGTTGCATACAAACAGGCTTGACCACATGCCTGTCGGCAGGCAGGTTATTCCAACCTAGGCCTGGACAAGGATAGAGCCTTGGTTGGTCCCCAGGAGACCAGAGCCCATTTTTATTTTCTGCTTCCTTGTTAGGGCCTATATAAGCCCACTTCAAATCCAGTCCCTCGAACAACCTCCAAACATGTGGGAAGGTCTGTGTATCTTGCTGGCAATAAATAGTCCTAGCTTGTTGACAATGGAGTCTGGCCTATTTCTTTTCCATTCTTCTCCACTTTCCTAAGAGAGTGGCTTTGCAAATCACAGAACACAATGTAACAAAAGCCAGACCCTGGGCACAAACATTGATGGATTTGTAGGGACAACCTTGATTGATTTGTAGGGACGGGGGAATTTTGTCATTGGAGAGGGGGGAAAAAACATCATTGTTTCACCTTCCCAAATGCCCGGCCCTAACCCCATCCTTTCTCCACACTGGGCAAGGCCTCTGCTCCCTTCCTACTGACAAACTGCACAAGCTCCACCCTTGCGGCCACCATTTTCCCTCTCATCAGATAACCTGGCCCCCTACTTTTGTGGGAAAAGGGTCTCTACATCGCTTCACCCTCTCCAACACCTTGAGGAAAGGCGTGTGTGCTGCTCCCTCTCCAGACGTGCCCTGCGGCTCTACCTGGGTGGTGGGCATGAGGGGGTGCTGGCCTCCCCAGGGGGCGCCCTCCAGTGGAGAACAGGAGCCATGAGCCTTGCACACTGGCAGCAAGGTAAGAAGACAGCACCGAGCTCCAGCCCTAATTCTCACCTCATCAGCCTTGGAACTTGCACGCGCTGCCCAGGTCCCACACACCCTTCCCCACTTTATGCCCCTGCTCTCAAAACTGCACACATCTCTCGGTCTGGAAAGCAGAGCTCACTGGGGCCTTCCACCTTCCCACCTTGCCCCTAGACATTTCCCAACAGTCCTTTCTTCCCAGCCTACTACCAGGTTTCCCCATTGTCTATTGCCCCACTCCCTAAGGGAAGAGGCCTGTAAAAGTCCTTGCCTGGCCCTTTCCAGACTTCTGCTGGATGCCTGCTGCTCTCACGGAGTGTTTCAGGGTCTGCCCTCCTCCTGGTTTTAGAAACTTCACACCTCCATCTCCAGCACTTCCCGTCTCCTCCCCACCTCTCCCCCCTTCACACACCCCCACCCCCATCCTCACACCCCCCCCCAGCCTCTTCCTAGCCCTATCCAGTATCAGTCTACCTCAAGTCTGCGCTCACTCTTCCACCTGGCCTCTCAGGGGAGGGGGCTCCCCTGTCACTCACTCTGGGATCATCCTCTCCCCTGCTCTTACTCACTGCCAGCCTCCTGCCCATCCCCTCCCATGGCACCGTGGTCCTGAGTGGGCCTCAGCCCCTCAGCCTTCATTGCAGGGTGAGGTGTAGCCCTCATGTCTCTCTTCAATCCACTCTGAGGAGGCTGAGGCCCAGGAAAAGCTGAACATGGAGAGAGGGCTGGGCTAGGCCAGGTCCTCTGCAGGCTGCTTGCACCCATCAGCCAAGTACCTCTGTTAGCGTACTGAAACCCTTCTGTACCTGTGGTGGGATCCCCCTGGGGCCGGGGACTGTCAACAATCTGTAGCAGTGAAAGTAAAGCCTAACAGAGCATGGGCCTCTCAGCCCTTGTGTGGACATGGGGGTGGAGGGAGGGGGGGGGGACAACTCAGTGTAGTAGATGGGGGATGGGCTGTTAGACACTGAATGGCTACCCCTGCTAGGAGCACCAAAGATGTCAGAGAAGGCTTGATACTAACCCTGTCATCGATTATACCTTAGGAGTTCCTGACAGCCCTTGAAAGCTTGTGTTAATGTCAACTAATTCTGACACAACCTCAGATACACAGCCCATGAACATTTACGTCTATGCCACAGCTTAGAGCTAAATTGGCCTGGATTCAGCCCTAGGCCTGGGAAGTTCACAAGCAAGTCTTACCTATGGTGAAAAAGACTGTAATATGGAGGTGGATTTTCAGAAGGAAGCACGCTGTGGGCCTCAAGACTTCGAGTTCCAGCAGAAACTGAAGACTCAGGAAAGTAAGGTGGTGGAGGGGGTGGGAATAGGATCACTGAGTCACCTGAGGAAACACAATATTTGGTTAAAAGCAAATTAGCAAGAGCAAAATACATGAGTTCTATATCTGGCCTTCTAGAGACAGTAAAAGGTCAAAATAGTTGTTATTCACTCCAGAAGTAAAAATAGGCCTATTAAGTCCATGTAAGGTAGCTCATGTCTCTAATTCCAGTTACTCAGGAGGTAGAGTAGGAGGATCAAGGTCCAAGGTTAGCTGGGGCAAAAGCTCCAGACTCTATCTCAAAAACAAAAAGTCAAAAGCTGAGAGTAGGTAAGGTATTGCTCAAGTACTAGATTGCTTGCCAAACAAGCACAAAGCCCTAAGCAAAATCCCCCAATATTATCAAAAAGGTAATAATGTTATATATAAAGTAGGACAGGCTACCAGGAACTGGGGAGAGGAAGGGTACAAAGTTTCTGATTGGAATATAAAAAGTTTTAGAAAGTGATAGTGATGATAATTATACAAAGCTGTGAATGTACTTAAGCCCCCAGAGTGTACATTTAAAGGTAGTTGACGGGGCTGGGAATGTGGCTTAGTGGTAGGGTGCTTGTCTAGCATGCATAAAGCCCTGAGTTCAATTCCTCAGTACCACATTAACAGAAAAAGCTGGAAGTGGTGCTCTGGCTCAAGTGGTAGAGCACTAGCCTTGAGCACAGAGAGGCTCAGGGACAGAGCCCAGGCCCTGAGTTCAAACCCCAGAACCGACAAAACAAAATACAACAACAACAACAACAACAACAAAGGTAGTTGGCATAGTAAGTTATGGTCAGGCATTGGTGGCTCATGCCTGTAATCAATCTTAGCCACTCAGGATGCTGAGATCTGAGGATTGAGTTCAAAGCCAAGCCAAGCATGAAAGTCTGTGAGACTCTTATCCCAATTAACTACTTTAAAAGGCTACAGGCTGTGTGCCAGTGGCTCATGCCTGTAATCCTACTCAGGAGGCTGAGGTCTGAGGATCATGGTTCGAAGCCAGCATAGACAGGAAAGTCTGTGAAATTCTTATCTTCAATTAATCACAGAAAAAGCCAGAAGTGGTGCTATGGTTCAAGTGGTAGAGTACTAGCCTCAAGCAAAAGGAGCTCAGGGACAGCACTCAGGGCCAGAGTTCAAGCCTCAGGACCGGCAAAAACAAACAAACAACAACAACAACAACAACAAAGAGGTGGAAGTGAGGCTCAGGTGGTAGAATGCTAGCCTTGCATGAAAAAGCTAAGGAGCAATGACTAGGCCCCGAGTTCAAGCCCTAGTACTAGAACAAAACAACAACAACAACAACAAAAACCAAAGTAAGTTATGTTACAGTTATGTTACCATGATTTAAAATATATATATATATTTATTTATATTTACTATCTTTAAGTAGTTGTACAAAGGAACTGTCATTCACGCAATGCAATAAATGTCACCCCTTTCAACATTGTCACCTGCCCCTTCCCTTACTTAATTTTAAGTTATGTATTGAATTTTTTGCAATTTAACAAAGCAGTTTATGTGATAAAATGTATTTTGATCTGTGTTTTTTTATTCTTTTTGTTGGTCAAAGGACTTGAACTCTGGGCCTGGGTGCTGTCCCTCAGCTCTTCCAGTTTTCTGGGTTTTGGGGGGGTTTTTTGTTTTTGAGATAAGAGTTTCATGGACTTCCCTGCCTGGGCTGACTTTGAACCGCAGTCCTCAGATCTCAGCCTCCTAAATAGCTAGGATTACAGGCGTGAGCCGCTGGTGCCCGGGGATCTGTGTGTGTGTGTGTGTGTGTGTGTGTGTGTTAAGTGAGTCTTTATTTCTAAGTCCAGAGCCTCCAGCATTGCAGTATGCATGCGGCCTCTTCCCAGCAAGTCTGAGCCAAAGCATGTCTGTGAGGCCTTTACAAACTAGTTCCCTCGCCTGCCCAGGGATGAGGACTGCTCACGGAGTTCTGGATGCGGGGTGGAGCCCAGTGTGCCCTGCTATCTCTGTGTGGCTCTGGCATCAGGGGCCAGGGAAGTCAGACAGTTTGCTCAGGGTCATGCCAGGTTGGTCATTGGCAAATGACTTTTAACATCTCTGCACCAATCTCCTCTCTTCAAGGAAGTCAAGTTCTCCTCTGCCTTTATTTTTTCCTACATTATCATTTGGTGTCACCATCTTACCAGAGGCCTTCCTTGGACCTCCAATAGTGGTCCAGCCACCTGTCTAGAATGTTCTGGGAAATTCCCATGATGCAGTGCACTGGGATTCCAAGATGTGGGTCTGGTCCCTAGTTTCTCCTTCTCAAAACACAGGGATATAGTCTACAACACGCAATAGCTGCAGAAATCAAGTACCAACCTCTTTGAGTTTGGTCTCTGTCTGTGCAGCTTGGATGAAATTTTGGAGAACACAGTCATGGAGAGAGCATGGCTTCTCTTGTGTGTTCAGGAGCTCAACACTTTCCTTGGTAGTTGGTTGTGTATGTGTGTGTGTGTGTATTTTATATGTGCCAGTACTAAGGCTTAAACTCAGGATCTGGGGATTTTGTGGTTAATGGGAGATAAGAGTCTCCAGGACTTTGCTGCCCTGGCTGGCTTCAAACTGTGATCTTTGGCTCTCAGCCTCCTGAGCAGCTAGGATTACAGATATGAGACACTGGTGCTGGGCAACAGTTGACTTTGGTTGACTTAGACCTATGTGCCTGGGGAGGGCTGCTGAGTGAGGGGGAGGGGGCAGGATGGACTCGGCCTGCACACTGGTATAAAGGATGCTGGGGACTTGCTCTTGCGCCCCGGTGTAAGTCATTGATGTTCTAGTGCTTCCAAGTCCTCACCTCTGACATAGAGATAAGAAGTCAGTCTCAGGGGGTTGTTGTAGGTGTGGCTGAACTGACCTCAGCAGGTGCTTTAATATATATGTTAAGGTATTCAGGTGAGTGTTTGGTACAGGAATTGACCTTTGGAAGTATTAGCTATCAAATACATGATTAGTATTTGCATTGTGGCCAAACTGGCACAGGAATACCTGTAAAGCCATCCACCCCACCCCCACCTCCCACCCTGCAAAGGCCGTTCCTGATAAGGTCGGCATCTTGTCTGGTCCCTTCCCTCCATCTGTAGTCAGTCAACACTGACTACAGAAGAAGGCCCCTGACAGGAAAAGATGTCACTTATCACATTCCTTCCCGTGGACCCTCTGCGGCCCTTGCTCTGATGTCCTCTACTTAGCCCTCCTATGCCAAGACTGCTGTGGCTTCAGAACTTCAACCTTTCAAAAAGAGGAGACTGGGAATAAGAGGGGCCAGGGGAGGATTTGCAAAAGAGCAGCGATGGGTTTTTCCTTGGTTGCGTGACACCAAGGTCAGAGGTAAGGATGCTGCTATGAGGGCAGTTGATTCTGGGAAAGGATCCGCTACCTCTTCTGCAAACTCAGGGGTCCCAAGAGGAATTTTAGGCATTCCACGGGGGGGGGGGGAGAACATTGTCATATTTTGCCTCCGTCTGGAGAACTTTGTCCCCTGGAGAAGGTTCCAAAAATGAAGAGCAATGCAGAAAGCAGCACAGAGCTCCTGAGAGCTCTGCAGTCCACAGACATGGGACAGGCTTAGACTCCTATAATGTTCATCCTAGAAATGATCTCACATCTCTGCATGCATCTGGAGGTGGAGGAAGGAATGATGAATGGCTTATAAAGAAAGCCTGTCAGCAACAGGGGAGGGAGACTCCCCCCTCTGTCACACACACACACACACACACACACACACACACACACACACCCCTGAAGGGCTACACAGTTTCAGTGTGAAGCTAGTGACCATCTCCATGGCGGTCCTCTGGGTTCTCCTCACTTTCCTCTGTGACTTCAGTCAAGGTCACCACTGAATGTTTCTATTGCAGAGTCTAGCTGCTGAGAGGAAATGATGCTTGCCAGGATTCCCACAGGTGGACTACAGAGGAGGCACTGTGTTCATGTGCACAGGCCTAAGTGCGTGCACACAGGTGTGTGAGAGGAAGTGAGAAAAACCCAAGTCAGATCAGAGAGCACCCCAGTGAAACCCTCAGGCCAAAGATACTGTCTTTCCCACCAGCAAGCTTGCTCTGGAATGACCACTCACCTACAGTGACCTGGACAGGCTCCGTGTTCTGGGTGTGCCCCTCCTCGCCCTCAGCAGTGTCCTGGTGCATGCTGGAGTTGTTCTTCTTTTTTACGTGGGCAACCACGAAGAAACATAATCCCACCAGCACAATCAAGGGGCCCATGATCTGCAGAGAGAGGAACCCACAGATCGGGGGCTCTGTGTCCGCAGTGTCTGTCTCATTCAGGGATTCCTGTACCCAGTCTGAGCCACATCCAGGGACCCAGATGCCCAGAATGCTGATAAGCATGCCGCTCGTCAAGAAGAGAAAACCAAAGATGAGGCACTGGGCAAACTGGCGGCTCTCTCCACAGATGAAGGCTTGATCATTGTCTGCCTGATTGCTGCCTGGCTGTCGCCCGTCCCGGAGCTGAAGTCTTGCCCGAGAGCGGGCCAGGATTACAGCCCCAAGCCCAATCACTGCGCACGAAGGCCCAGCTACCTTCAGCACCAGGCTGCAGTCTGGGATGGGTTTGTATTGGCATGCTTGGTACCCAAAGATGGACAGCAGAACTCCCACACACAGAAGGACGGCCCCGAAGACAAAAAGGAAGAAAATGAGCTTGGTGACATGCCCATCCCGATGGTCCCCATCTGGTTCAGCAGCTGCTACAGAAGACATGGCCAGAAAAGGCCTCTTCCTTCCCCGAGGTGAGGCGAGGCGTGTTTCCTGTCCTCCGACTGTTTTTTGAGCTCTGCAAACATGAAGGAATGTGGAATTAAAGTAGGGCCAGACACTCCTGACCAGCTCAGTTCTTTTGCTGGCCGGCTCAGAAATCTCCACTGGAGGCTGAGGTCACGGCAGGTAGGACCTTAGACAGCAGACACAGTGCAGAACAATGCATTGGTTTATGAGTCAGAAGAACTGGCGTTCACAAACTCCTCCTTGTGAAATGTTATGAAGACATTCCCCCCCAAAAGAGGGAAGGCAGTAACTTTGCATCTGAGATAAGAGTATCCTATAAAAAAGAAAATAACTGGGCGTGGTATTTCCTGTTTGAGACTTACAAACTCACTTCCTCAAGCAGAAAATAATAGCGCATGAGGGAAGAGCCATAGGGGCTCTGATTTCCAGATGCCCAGTAGTTGACCACTGTAGCTCCGGGCATTTCCACATTGATTTTTTTTTTCTCTATAACTAACTTTCCACTTGCTGTTTTGGACTTGGGCAACTTTCCATCCCATGCTTTATTCTAGCGCTACCACGACAGACGACCCAAGTTCAGCAGTTTTCACAAAGTCAGCAGGTGTGAGAACTTTTACATTAATTCTGTCAAAACCTGGATCTTGAGGAGCCAGGCGCTGGTGACTCACACCTGTAATGCTAGATATGAGGGAGGTTGACATTTGAGGAGCAAGGTTCAAAGCCAGCCCAGGAAAGTCCTTGAGACTCTTAGCTCCAATTAACCAGCAAAAAGCTGAAAGTGGAGGGGTGGGTCAAGTGATAGAGTGATAGCTTTGATCAAAAAAGCTAAGGGGGGGGCTGGGAAGGTGGCTCAGTGGTAGAGCGCTTGCCTTGCATGCCTGAGGCCCTGGGTTCGATTCCCCAGCACCACATAAGAAAAAAGCCAGAAGTAGCACTGTGATCAAGTGGTAGAGCGCTAGCCTTGAGCTGAAGAGCTGAGGGACAGCGCCCAGGCCCAGAGTTCAGGTCCCATGACCAGACCCTCCCCCCAAAAAGCTAAGGGACCTAAGTGGAAGCCAATGGGAAAGCATCTTCTACAACCCCCACCCCAATCTCCTACTCGGAGGGTATTATATACTAACTACCAAGTAGTCTTCAGAGCCAACTAGCTCATAGTTCATAGAGTCTATCAGCCAGTTATCTTGCCTTTCTCCAATGGATGCAAAAGCCCTTATACAGGTCCTCAAACACAGTCCAAAGCCTATAGAACACTTCCATTTGGGGCTGGGAAGGTGGCTCAGTGGTAGAGCGCTTGCCTTGTATGCATGAGGCCCTGGGTTCGATTCTTCAGCACCACATAAGCAAAAAGAAAAAGCCGAAAGTGGCACTGTGGCTCAAGTGGTAGAGTGCTAGCCTTGAGCTGAAGAGCTGAGGGACAGCGCCCAGGCCCAGAGTTCAGGCCCCACGGACCCAAACAACAACAACAACAACAAGAATACTTCCATCAAAGAAAACCTAAAAATACCTTGTGTCACTCATACCCGTGGTCACATGAAAGAATTCAAGGCTGAGGCTCGTATCCAGGTTTTGATGGCTCATGCCTGTAATCCTAGCTACCTAGGGAGGATAAGATCTGAGGATCTCAATTAGAAGACAACCAAGCAGAAAAGTCCATTGACTCTGACCTCCAATAACTGCAAAAAGCTGGAAGTGGAGCTGTGGCTCGAATGGTAGAAGCTGGCCTTGGGTGGGGGGTGGTGTGGGGGAGTAGGGAGACAAGCAAGAGCCCTGAGTTCAAGGCCTGGTGCTGTCACAAAAAAAAAAAAAAAAGACTAAAAAGGGAGTGGAGTGGGGGTGTGGGGAAACCATGTGGGGTTTTTTTCTGTTCTTTTTGTTGTTGTTGTTTGTTTTGTTTTTTGGGGGTGTGTGTGTGTGTGGTTGTGGGACTTGAACTCTGGGCCTGGGCGCTGTCCCTCAGCTCTTCAGCTCAAGGGTAGCGTTACCACTCGAGCCACAGCTCCACTTCTGGTTTTCTGGTGGTTAACTGGAGATAAGAGTCTCATGGACTTTCCTGGTGGGGCTGGCTTTGAAAGGCAGATCCTCAGATTTCAGACTCCTGATTAGCTAGGATTACAGGTGTGAGCCACCAGTGCACAGCCTAAGTCCAAGGTTCTGTAGGCCAAAACCATCTTGCAAAACCAAAATCAGGAGGAAGGAAGATCAGTTTAGGTAAGGGAAGCAGACATCTGAGGATATACTAGGAAGTACTTTTCCAGGAAAATGCACGATACAATCACAAGGAAGTGGAGGGAAAAAAAGGAAATACAGGACAGAAATAACCATTCATCTCAAACTTCGAAAAACCACGTTGTCTGCGATGCCTTTAAGGCGAGAGAAAGACTTAATGAAAGCATTGCACTAATTTTAAAACAGTTTCTGACTCATATAATCTCCTTGGCTGGTTTCAGAGATAAGGCTGGCTCTTGGCTACAAAGTCCTGTGAGGAACTCATTGTGTTTCTGGTATCTATCTTCCACTCTGTAGTGAGCTAGGGGCTTCCGCTTCATCTTAAGACGAATTCCCAAACACCAAGGAAGTGAATAGAAGCTCAAGCTGGACCTGTAACTGACTTTTCTCTGGACAAGCGTTACAAACATCAGGTAGCTGGAAGGTGGGGGGGGGGGCAAGTTGTGCCTCCACCACCACCCGCAGAGATGGACCCACATTAATTAGATCATTAAAGCGAAAATGTAACACTGAACTCTTCCCCAAACCTATTCCCCTCCCCGCTATTCCTCTTGCTTTTGGCATTTCCAAACCAACAGCACCTCTCCATCTCCGATGCTCTGGCAGAGCCAGGTGAAGGGCGACAAACACCTGCCTGTGGACTTTGGAGGAGCCTTGGGGCGCAGTGGCGGGGTGGCGGGGTTCCCCAGGCGCGCAGGTTCCGCACAGGTCCCTCGGTTCAGCCAAGGCCAACGCCCAGGCCCGGCGGGTCGCGCTGCTTACCTGGTCCGGGTCCTGCTTGCGCCCTCGGGCCGCGCTGCTGTGGCCCGGGGCTGAGCGCGTTCCGTCTCCACTCGCGGCCTCGGCGGTGCCCGACCCACCCCGCTGCGCGTCGAGGCGCGCAGGGCGAGCCGCCTCGGGGTGGGGACAAGGAGGCGGTGCCCGGCGGACGGGCGCAGTGACCTGAGCAGGGCCGGGCAGGGCAGGCCGGCGGGAGCCGGCCGCTTCGGGCTGCCGCTCTTCGGGGGAAGCAGGGCGCGGGAGCCGAGAGCCCGCAGTGGCTGCGGCGGGGGACCCGAGCTGGCGGACTTGGCCGGCTCGGCACGGGTGATCGTGAGCACCGGAATCCGGGGTCAACGGGCAGTGGGTGCGCGGGCCAGGCTTGGGGCACCGGCGAGCCGAGATTCTCTCCTTGGCTGCCCGGGGCTGCGCGCCACGAGGGGCACCTTGGGGGCGTGAGGCGCGAGCGCCCGGCGGGGGTGTGGGGTGCCGCCGAGCCTTGGGACGGGGAGGAGGGTGGGAAAGAAAGCAGCGAGCTCTTTCCGGGGGCGGCGGCGGCCTCGGCAGGGTCCCCGGCCGCCTCGGGCGCGCCTCCCGCGGCTCCGGAGACCTTGGCTAGGGTCTCTCCGCCAGCTCCCGCGATCAGGATCGATCGGGAGACCCTGAGCGCTCCGAGAACCACCGAGGGGCCCGGGCAGGCGTGTGGACCGCCTTCTGAGACGGAAGCGGCCCCTCGGCAGGCCCCGTGCAGGCTCACCGCATTCCCCCGGCCCGCGCGGCGCCATCCCCGGCCTCGGCGCCCCCTCCCCGGTGCCCCGCCGGGTAACTTTTCTCTGCCCTTGAACGCCAGTTTCCGGGCCGGGCTTGCCAAGCCCGAGCTATTTGTGACCCGCCCCGTGACACTTGACCCTTCTCCCACGGTGCCAGTTTCCCCTGCCCGAGGTCAGGGTGCGGCCAGGCCCCTCGCTGGGGCCACGCGCGCGGGCCAGCCCAGAGCCTGGGGACTCCCCCCGGCCTCGCCTTTTCTCGCCAGCTTCCTGTCCACTTTCTTGAAATCACACTGTTCAGATGAACCGTTTAAACACCATCCGGACAGAACACGCTCTGCGCAGCAGCCCTCCTCACCGGGCGCGAAGTGTGAGTTCCACTTAGCTACTTACCCCAGGCAGGAAGTGTGCGGCCAGGGCCTGGGGAAGGGTGAGATTGGGGTTCACTAGGCGAGTGCACTGGACAAATTCCAGCCTCTGGAATGTGGTGGGGGCACTTGCCGGTCGGGGTGAGGAGAAGAGACCGGAGGGAGGCCGGAGTGTGGATTTCCTCATAGCCAGGCTGCCCTGAGCGCGGAGGCCCCGACACAGACACGGGGAAGGACATAACAGATGAGCCTGAGAATTGGAGGCCACACCCGCTCAGAGGAGGTTGGAGCCCAAAGGGTATGGGGACCCCCCCCCAAAAAAAAACCCTGCCACTTTCCAGCTGATAAACACAGCACTTAGCCTGACACTGGTGACTCATGCCTGGAGAGACGGAGAGGAATTCAGTTCAAAGCCAGCCCGGGGCAGAAAAGGCCCTGAGACTCTTATAACCAATTAACCAGCAAAGAGGAGAAGAGGGGGGAAATACAGACAAGAATCCAATGTATAGCCTACAAAGTTAAGAAGAGGGAAGGAAGAGGTGGGGAGAGGGGTATTAAATGGCAGGTCCTTTGTACAACTACCTAAACAAGGAAAAAGAAAGGAGAGGAGAGAAAAGCCAGACGTGGCATTGCGGCTCAAGTGGCAAAGCATCAGGCTGGAACCAAAAGGAAAAAAAAAAAATAGCGATGGAGAGCATGCGGCCCTGAATTCAAGCCTGAGCGCCATCACAAAAACAGAAACAAGAAGCACCCAGGAGCAGAGAGGGATGGGGCCTCCACAGCGAGCGCCTTGCCCAGAGGCCCAGGCTGCTCCTTCTCCCTCCCCAAGTTCACCTGTCGCCTAGAGGACTCACCCCAAGACTGTGAACAGAAAAACATGTTTTATCACCTGGTCCTATGATAGCAGGGGGAGGGATCTGGGCAGGTAATTGCCACAGTATCCCAAGAGCATTGCCACCACCACCAGCCTGGTCTGGGGTGGAGACAGTGGACAAAACGTCAAGCTATGGCACCTTCTGGAAGGGCACCAGGTGTGCCTGGCCAATAGCCAGCAGCAATGATTGCCCAACGTCAGTTGGCACCAGGCTTTCTAAGAACTCAAGCCCTCACAGAAAATGTGTCCCCTCTGACCTCATCTTGTCAGCAGCTCCTCGCTCCTCGCTATACCAGGGCAGGTACCATTTCTTCTCTCCCCCCTTCCCCCCCCCCCCCCCCAACCCACATCTCCTTTCTCTTTTATTTGGAAGTTGATCTCTGGCCACATCCTGCAAAGGGCCTGTTGATACAGCTGCCCCTCGGGCACCACATGACTGCAGGCTCGCCACCCATGACAGACTTAAATGTCCTGGCACCAAGGACAATCAGATTAGCCTTCCCTCTGGGATATCTAGTGTTGGCTCTGTTTGTGTCTTTTGGAGCCCATTTGACTAAACGAAACTCCTTGGAAACTGATCATCAGTCAAGTATGAAAGACGCACCATTGGCTTCAAGGTCCTTAGGGCCAACTAGTCTTAGGAATGAAGCTGGGTGACCTGTCCAAAAAAACCCACATGACCTTTCCCAAATCCTTAGAGAATTGCATCTAGATTTAACAAGAAGCTGAACACCAGTGGCTCATACCTGTAATCCTACCTACTCAGGAGGCTGAGATGTGAGGATCAAGGTTCACAGCCATCCCTGACATGAAAGTCTATGAGACTCGAATCTCCATTTAACCACCCAAAAAAAGCCACAAGTGGAATTGTAACTCAAGTGGTAGAGAGTCAGCCTTGAATGAAAAAGCTAAGGGACAGCATCCTAGCCCTGAGTTCAAGCCCCAGTAGCAGCACAAAATGATGATGATGATGATGATGATGATTTAACAAGAACTACAATTCAGTTTATGAAACAGAGAGATGAAGAGGGGGTGTGCATTCATTTATTCACTCAGCAGATACTTACTGGATCTCTACCATACACCCACCCGTAAGTTCTTAGCCCTCATGGAAGTGGCAGTGTGTACTAGGGTGGAGGCAATCAGATGTGGAACTTGTACACAGCATGAAGTTGAGAGAACCATACATGATGGGCGGGGACAGGTGTGGTCAGGAAGCTATCTGTGCACAGGTGTCATTGCAGCACAAACGTGAAGGGAATGAGGAAGCCACACATGGATCTATTGTAAATGCATAAAATTACCTCAAGACTCAGACACTAAAGGAAGAGCCTTATTAGCTCTCACAGGGGCCGAGGGTCAAGAATGAGGGCCAGTGTCCAGGAGAGGCTCAGCTGGGTGGTTCTGGTGTAGGGGTGCTGGAGGCTGCATGAAGCAGGTGCAGGTGTGGGAGGTGTGGCAGGGTGGCAGACCCAGGCAGCTCAGTCAGGGCTGTTGGCCAAAGGCTTCAGCTCTCTGCAGAGCTGCCTAAATGCCCTCATGAGGTGGTAGCTAGCTCCCCCTAACATGAGCCACCCAAGACAGCCAAACAAGAAGGAAGCCCTGGGGCTGGGAAGGTGGCTCAGTGGTAGAGTGCATGCCTTGCAAGCATGAGGCACTGGGTTCTATTCTTCAGCACCACATAAACAGAAAAAGCCGGAAGTGGCACTGTGGCTCCAGTGGTAGAGCGCTAGCCTTGAGCTGAAGAGCTGAGGGACAGTGCCCAGACCCAGAGTTCAGGCCCCATGACCAGCAAAAAAAAAAAAAAAGAAGGAAGCCCTGGTGCTGTTTAGGAAGTAGCCTCTGAGCTACTTCTATTTCATTCCAGTCCTTAGCCCTGAGCCACCAAGCAAATGACAGATTAGACTCCTTTCTTTTTTTTTTTTTTTGTCAGTCGCGAGTCTAAGAACTCTGGGCCTGGGCACTGTCCCTCAGCTCTTCAGCTCAAGGCTAGCGCTCTACCACTTGAGTCACAATGCCACTTCCAGTTTTCTGATTAATTAATTGGAGATAAGAGTCTCATGGACTTTCCCTGCCCTGGCTGGCTTTGAACTGAGATCCTCAGATTTTAGCCTCATGAGTAGCTAGGATTACAGGCATGAGCCACCGGTGTCCAGCTGAGGCTCCATTCTTAAAGGGAAGTATATCAAAGAATCTGTGGTCAGATTCTGAGGGAAGGGAAGATTACTTTGGGCAGAAGCAATAGCAAATGCAAAGACCCTGGGGTAGGAATATTCGTTTATTTCAAAAAGAGCAAGTGTGTCTAGAACAAGCGAACAAAGGGATGAAGAGGTAAAGAAAAGTGTGTGAGGTACCAAGTGTACTGGGTTGTGTCAGGCATCAGGTAGTGAGGGTCATTGTGACTGTTAAGCAGATGAGAAGACTTTGGATGGTTTTTGAGTGTGAGAGATCTGGTTATTTTTCTTTTTTGAGTATCACTATGTTGCCCAAGCTGGTTTAGAACTCATGAGATTAACTGAACCTCCTGCCTCTGCCTGGTCTGGAAGAGTATAACCTGAGGAAGAGAAAGGGTATGGGCGAGCCTGAGACAGCTCCCTGGGCCTTGTGTTTGGAGATGATTGAAATGACTGGGCTCTAGATGTATCTTGGAGAGTCAGTAGGATTTTCCACACGTGGATGCAGTTTTGATTTTGAAGTTGAGGGTCTCAGTAGGCAGAAAGATGGTTCCAGACAGGAGATGCTACAGACTTTGCTTGTAGTTTATTCACTTTGTCCATTAGCCATATGGGTGGAGAAGTCGAGCTGGCAATGAATGACAAGAAGGAGTTCATGAGGGCCAGGTGTGGTAGGCTAGGATCAGTGGGTAAAACCAGCCTGGGTAAAAGTACAAGACCCTACCTGCAAACCTGGAAAACAGCCTCCAATAACAAAGTACCGGTCCTGGCACCAGTGAAGTACCAGCCTAGCAAGTTCAAAGGCTCTGAGTTTAATCCCCAGTAGTTCTCTAACCCCCTTACCCACCCATCTCCCCCAGTAAAAAGAAAAGCAAGCACAGATCTCAGGAATCTGGGAGGACCGTGTC